AAAAAAAAAAAAAAAAAAAAAGAAAAAAAAAAAAGAAAAAAAATCTAAAACTAAAGACATCCTTCTCAAGAAATCAATGTTATTCAATATAATACGCGCTCTGGTTTAGTTTTCTATATTGAGGAGCCGCAGGATGGTTGAATTTCTGAGGAAGGTGAGATTTCTCACCTGGGTGCGTGAGATCTCAAACACACACACACACACAAGCACACGAACACACACACAAAGCGACTGTTATATTAAAATTAATGGTAACTATCTGATAAGAAATAAAAAATCAAACTCACTGCTGGATTGAATAAAAAAAGCTAGTCGAATAACATGCAGTCATGAAATGTATGTTACGTTAAAAGAACAAGTAGTCAATGAGGTCACTAAAAGAGGGCAGCAGCAGCCTCTACCGGAAGCATACCTGCAGGACCGGATCCAAAATTATTGAAGGGGGGGGGGGGGCACAGATGCAAAGCCACCCCCACCCCCACCCCCGTTGGCGTGGGCATCGGGCTCCTCTATCTAACAGAGAGAGAGAGAGAGAGAGAGAGAGAGAGAGAGAGAATGCACTGGGGCTGGTTTCACCAGAGTTTAAGCCGGAAAACTGGTCTTAAGTTTCAACTCAATATTTAACTTTTTTACCCAACTCCCTACGTCCTCTCTAAAAAACTACACCAATAAAACTCAACATAATTTGAATTTAAGTCAATAAATTATATAAAATAGCGCCAAGTTAATGTATAATGCTTGTACATGTGTACATGTATATACTAAGTACGTCGTTATCAATATCGTGTCCTTAAGCTTAACTTGGACGATAATAAAATATCGGTTATATGATCAAGAGATTACACTAAAATAAAGCAAAGGAAATATGACCCCCCCCCCCCCAAAAAAAAAAAATAAATAAAATAAATAAATAAATAAAATCCACTTTTTTTACCAATCAATACAATATGAGATCACATATAAATACAGGTGTATATGAGCCTGTCCCGCTAGGGTTCGTGGAGCGTTATTTTAATCGCGGGACTGGAAAGATGTTGAGTCTCCCTTGGGAAAGTAGCCTATATCCCAAACACGAAAAAGGTAAAGACAAAAAGCTTTAATAAAAATAGAAATCGATTATAAAATATCAATAGCATTAGCAAAATTAAAGTCATTTGAGTAAGTCATAGGCAGTTTTCGTCATTATTGTTATGCAATTCAAAAATACATTTTAACGTTCGCACAAAGTTCACAATTTCCTTCGGTGTCCATAACAAAAACAATAACCTTGAACTAAATTTCAAATAAAAAAAAAACGATATTGAATGGCTCCATTCTTATCTCGATGGCACATGGTTTATTACGCCCCTTCAGTCTTGTTGAAGAGTAAAAAATTTCCCACCTGGAGTGGCCATCTCTCATTAATTTACATCTGTGATCTTTATGACTGGTAAAAATTGCTTCATGCCCTGACGCTGAACAAATAAAATAAAAACTAACAAAACCAGAGGAACTCAAAAAGAACGCAGCTAAAGAGTTTTAATTCCTATTACGTTACAGTCCGAAAGACAGTAACGCATTACAGTCCGAAAGACAAGTGAAACTCATATTTCAGCTCTGCCGCGCCTCTTCTCCCATTTCTTCCCTTCTTCAACTATTTTTCCAACTGCAACACTTCACTTGCTTTTTTTTTTCTTTTTCTGCTATCTCTGTTAAGTCGTCCGTGCGCATCATATAGGGCCCACATGTACGTGTTCATTCCTTCTATTCCGCATTGTCGTTTGTTTACATTCTAAAGTCACGAGGTGATGCTAAATATGTCAAGGCTGTATGACGTTATAAGATGGCGGCTCCCTTTCCAGGATGTTTACGTAGCAGAGCGATCGTTAAAATTCAGCTAAAACAGGGATAACTAGAGATAAACTTCACCAAAATACAGGAAGGATCGGGGTGCAACCCGGTCACGTTACAATACTATGGCAATGGCTTCGAAAGAGCTGTGTAACGTCTTCAGTGAGAACTTTTTAACGTGTCATATATGTCTGGAGGAATATAAAGACCCGAGAGTGCTCCCCTGTTACCACACGTTCTGTCTGGAATGCATTGCTGACCATGCAGCCAAGAATAGTGTCCAGAACAAGTTATCCTGTCCCGTGTGTCGCCAAGAGGCCCCCGTACCACCAGGTGGGTTAGAAACTCTAGTGAAAAACTTCTTCTTAAGAAAAGTAACAGACTTCATGAAAGACCAGAAAGCGCCCGAGGGAAGACTTTGTGAATATTGTAACCATAAAGATGCCACTCTCATGTGCCAAGGATGTCCAAAAACCAACCAACTGTGCGCTACATGTCGTGATATTCACGACAAAATACCGTCTTGTGAGGGACATTCGTTTGTACCTCTGTCACAAGTAGACCCGTCACCTAACCCAGTAAATATACGAGAACAATAACGGGTACCGGAGAAGATCAGCATTGGTCAGAATTGTGCCGGAAGTGACGTGCAGTGGTGTTAGAAGCGAAGCTGAGTGGTCATTTTCAGAATGTCACCTTTGTCTTGGCATTCGTCACTGATTAGCGCCTTCCCCAGTGTAAAAGGTGTATCAGTGTGATCATGTGTGTGGAATTTCATGCCAGATGGACATATAAAGATCTAAAAATTCGTCAATATATTGAAAAAAAGATACAGCTGTGCACAGCAGTCGGAGATCGGTACATTCCACTTGTTAGTTACGAACTACTTCCTGGTTTTCACAAGGTCCTTCAAGACCTCTAAAACATCGTTGTAATTGCAGCCCATACCATAAAACACCCAAAAATACTTAGATATGGACATATCGGATTATATTAATGCCAAATTTCCACATGACAACGATTTATAGACTCCCGGGAATTATTTCCCCTTTACGCTTTTTGTCGCGCTGGCGGTCGACGCAGCATTTATTTCTAAACAAGTTGACCGCAAATTAAGCACGATTTTGCACCTTCAAGTTCCGTGTCACGTTTTCATATCATGCGTCTATTATTTCTACAAGTATTCTCTGCCCAAAATGCGTAAAAAAGGAGAGTTTTCTTACCATGTTGTTTAGAAAACTTCTTTTTCCTCCGACAACCTGTCTTCACTGCCGTTCACCTCTATGTTAAAATGACCACTCAGCTTCGCTTCTAACACCACTGCACGTCACTTCCGGCACAATTCTGACCAATGCTGATCTTCTCCGGTTCCCTTTATTACGCCACATATTAGATAAAGCTCAATGCTGCGACAAACACGACAGCGAGTTGCTGACATTCTATTGTGAAGAGGATGACACCGTGGCATGTAGAGATTGTATTTTGGAAACTCACAGTAAACATGACTTTAAGAAAATAGGGGATGTGGTGAAAGTTCAACGGGAGTTAATACAAGCCAAGTTTAAATGTCTAACAACCGAAAAACTGACTCGTTTTGAAAAGGCAGAAAAAGTCATTATGGAAACCGAAGACGAAGTGACTGAAAATCAGACAAAGGTTCTTCGTTTGGTAGATTCTCAAAAATTAGCTATGACTAAGGAGATAAATAAAAACAGTAAAACATTTAAAAGAGAAATCAAAGATTATTATCAACAAGTAGAGAAGGACGTACGTCAACAGACCGACGCATATTTGACCTCTGTCAAACAACATTTGGAAACATATGAAACAAAAATTCAGTCCGATTACACCGAAATGAAAAGATTTATAAATGACAAAAGCAGGGAAATAACGACAGAAGTTAAGGCACTCACCTCCACGCAGATGAAGACTTTAGAAGCTAAAAAGGACAAGCAAGAAATGAACAAGATTTCCATTCAGAGCATTCGTGATTTCGCTCAGCAACTCACAGACACCGGTTCTGACATCGAGGTCATGGCCCACTCTAAAAAACTCCAAACTAGAATCCAGGAGTTAGAGACAGTAGAACCAGTCTTTGATACCATGATCACCGATATAACATTTACACCAGGGAAAACAGAAATGGACCTTGTGCTACAGTTGCCCAAAAGCCCTGAACCACAGCTGTCCATAGAAACGGGGTCCATTACGGCCAAAACATACCGGGGTCCCTTGGATTCATATTTTGGAAGTTTAAAACAAAAGAGAGCGAACTATCCTGCGGTGAAGGAATTTATGAAGGTTACCTGGCTTGATAAGCCTGAGCGGAATGTTTGTTTTAACGTGAGGGGTTGGCTGCGGGATATCCAGTGCACAGATGACGGTTGCATTTTAGCTGTACATGATGACTTTTCCTGTGGTAAAACAGGGTCTGTATTCTCCAGCACAGGTCAATGTAATCGTGAGATCAGTAGAGTGGTAAAGGCGAGGTATATCACTACAGTCAGTAACGATAGATTCGTGGTCACATGCAGAGATAAATGCTGTAGACTGTATTCATCATCAGGTCAGTTTATCCGATGTTTTGGTCAGGGTGATATGTCTGACCCCTGGGGTGTCACTGTGGACCGTACAGAGGGTAAGGTGTACGTGTGTGATAGTGGTGCACAGTGCATCTGTGTGTACGACATGCTGACTTTTCAACTTGTTAACAGAATTCCTATCCCTATGTGCAGTAAAGATTTACTGTGCTGTGCATACCACCACGGCATCAGTGCAATCATAGTCAGCGACAACAGGGCCCACTGTGTGTATGCAGTGACACCCCAGGGTGACGTCATGTTCCAATACGGAGCACGAGGTAAAAGTGGAAGTAGAGACGGACAACTAAATTATCCTCGAGGAGTGTGCGTAGATAAGTTTGGACACATATTCATAGCTGACAACAGCAATTACAGAGCAATTGGACTTGGTCCAGACGGACTATTCATACGTAACGTTTTGACAAGGAGTAATGGCATTGATCCTCCTTTGTCAGTCGATGTCAACAGTAACGGAGAGCTTGTTCTTGGGACCGCCGGAGGAAAAATATCCACGTATAAGTATATCGCTTAGCAATGGCTTAATGATTAGACACCGAGGTAATGTTAGGGTTGTGAGGGTAAGGTGTACGTGTGTGGTAGCGGTGCACAGTGCATCTGTGTGTACGACATGATGTCATTTAACCTTGTAAACAGAATTCCTATCCCAATGTGCAGTAAAGTTTCACTGCGCTGTGCATACCACCACGACATCAATGCAATCATAGTCAGCGACTACAGTGCCCACTGTGTGTATGCAGTGACACCCCAGGGTGACGTCATGTTCCAATACGGAGCACGAGGTCAGAGTGGAAGTGCAGACGGACAACTGAGTGATCCACGAAGAGTGTGCATAGATAAGTTTGGACACATATTCATAGCTGACTACGGTAATCACAGGGTGGTTGTCCTTGGTTCAGAAGGAAAATTTCAACGTAACATTTTGACATGGAATGACAGCATTGAGAAACCTGTGTCAGTTGGTATTAACAACAAAGGAAAGCTTGTTGTTGGAACTGAACAATACTGAGGTTTTTTCACCACGGGACAAATATCCACATATAAGTACATTACTGAGAAAAGACTTATATGATTTAAAATTGTAATGATGTTTGAATTGTGATTAATATAATTGAGGAAATATAGTGAACACACCTTACAAATAGCCGCCACTACAATGTATGTAATTGTTTTTTTTTTTTATTATGCCGAAGTGCATGAAGATATACGAAGACATAATATAATCAATTTTATCAATTTATTTTAGCACTCCCATTTTTTGCAGGTCAACATTTTTTTTATTTGCAGATACGGTTTTCTCACTTTAGATTTAAACTGTTATAGTGGTTTTCATTTTGGCATATTTTGAATATTTTCTATTTTATTCATTTTAATGTGAAGAGTTTTAACAGGTAGATGATGAGTATAGAATGTAAAAACAAATGATAAAGATAAGAATTTGCTGGTTATAGTAAACGGCTTTATTTTTTTAGAAGTAAAATCGAACCGCCTTGAAGATGATAAGGGCTTTATCTTTCATTATTTTGTTTAGCACTGAGGTTCAGTTTTTCAAAATGTAAATAAACGCGATCGACAGCAGAACAGTTTTTGTTTTCAGTAGTCTTCGCAATATTACTGTCGACGGTGAAGTTGCTCTGGACATTATTAAACAAATACAGTGCACAGTCTTGCTGGGACTACGAAGTATGGTAACAAGTGAAAGGGAATGCGAGCAGGACATCGGCTTCCTCTCACTGGGTATAATTCTGTTTGCTTTTTAAAATCAAAATACGCACAGGACTACCAGGACCCCAAGAGGGAGGGGTCGTGAGAGGGAGGGTCGCGAGCTTACTAGGATATTGTGGTTGAAAGCAAAACCGTCTGTTAACTGTGTCACACACTTTATTATCAATTTTCTAATATATCAAAAGGCAAAAAATTAGTTGGAGACAACTATGGTTCACGAAGCTGAAGAATTCAGTCCATAACTGTAACTGATGTTCGTACGTTTGCGTCCCGCCGCCCGGTGTGAGAGGAATGGTTGTCCTTGGAATGAAAATGAATCGCTCCATTGTAGACTCAGAATGAATGTGTTATTATCTGGTTGATTATTCACATAGAATTTTTTTCATGACACTTTTAATATCACAGTATTGAGACCCAAAGATGAACAGTATAGCGCGTTGTCCATGAATAAAAGCGAGAACCAGGCATGCAATCCGTCTATGGAACATCTTCATCCATTCATGTCTTTTTTAAAACACCCAAATCCAATAGGCCTATAGAGGTGCAATTGATGTCACAAGCATGTTATTAAAAATGTTTACTGCACAGATTGCTTAATGTGTTTGATTATTTTAGGGTCCCACATGAAGCAGCTTGTATAAAAGTTTCACTCTCCTGGAACCATGAATAATTAAAAATAATTCATCGTTTAACCCCAAAAAGGAACATACGTTACTGTCACAAGTACAAAACGTCCAACTGTGAAACGTTTTCTCACTTCTCCTTCTCGTTCTGCTCTCAAAATTCTCGTTCTACTCTCAAAATTCAGTCATCGCTGGTTTCGTTCATTGCTTTACCTCCTACAAGTATAACATTGCTAAAATTATAATAGTCTGTTCAGAGCAGTTAATTGTTTTTGAGCGACTTTAGTTTGCTTGTCAAAGAATATTAAAAAATGGGGGCAATACACCCTACCGACAGTAAGCATTAAATAAAAAATGTTTCCTTTATGATCCAAATATTATATCAGAAATGTCAAACTATCATGGAAACACAATATTTTGTTCGGTCAGCAAAAGGAAACATTGCATCTCTTGCACACAAGTACTTGAACAAAATGAAACATTTTGACAATTTTTCTAGGGAACTTACGATACCTAGTATAAGCCATGACGCAAAGCCCCTTGAGATTCAGTTTAAATATTTATAAAAACGCAAGGAACATACGTTACCGTACGTTATGTTTCTTGACAATTTCCCCTAATTTCATATTAATTGTCAATCACAGTATAAATTTATGTTTAATTTTTCACTTGGTACTGTTATGTAAAAAAGGTACTTTTTTGGGGGGCATGAGAAAAAAAACCCCTAAAAATTAACGCTTTTTTCACATTTGCATTGGTTGTTTCTCCTTGACTTTACCTATCCTCCAGCTTCATATATTTAACAATATAAACAGTATTAATTTGATAATATCAATGATAATGAAAGAAATAGGGCGATATGCATCCCACAATTTCCGTGTACCAACTATTTTGGGCAAGTGTGTAGGTTTTAAAATATTAAATACAATTTTGAATTCATTAATTTTAATTTTTTGACACTTCAGCATGTGAAATGCACCTCTATATTGGATTTGGGTGATTATCGTGTGTAGACTGCTTCGTCGCTTCGCCCATGAAATTGACAAATCAAATACCCCTTTCATTATTGACTATTTATAAGAGAAAACCTTGGTATCTATGCAAATGTATTTCCCCAAATTTACTACTGTAAAACGTGATTACAGTGTAGCAGGTGTCTTTTCTAATTTTTATTTATCTGTTTAAGCACTTCTGTATTTGATCATCTGTAAGAAAAGAACGTAAATACCCTGTGATAGGTAACGTAAATGAGACTGATTAAATCTTGCTATAACCTATAATGATTTTTAACTTCATCAATATACACCCTTGATAATCCAAATATTTATATAGTACTTAACATTGGAAATCCATCGATATATCCATGTTCTCAGGACAAATCGATGGTGATGTGTATTATTTTGTCTACTGTGACCGATTTTTAACTTTCTGAACAATTATAACAGACGGTGTCGGTAACAACGCTGTCTTTACACTATCCACTATCGAGTAGGATATCCAGCAGTTTTATGATGCCCTTTTTTCTCTTCAATATATAAAGGGTTACAAAAACGATATGCATCGGACTATTTATCGTATCGAGTTCCAAACTTTTTAATTGGTGTTCCCAGTTTTCGGTGCGTAATTTTGCTGTACCCCCCGAGTAGCAGTTTTCCAAACTTTCTTCAGTTGCTAATATCTCGTGCACATACATGAGCTTTTTTAAAGACAGTATTTATCTTGCTTCGCTGGACATTAAGCAAACAGCGTGGTTAATAACTAAGGATATAATTGATCTTATCGTACATTCCTATCACACATATACATACATGTACGTCGTACACGCTGCGGTATAGATTGCCTCACCAATGAATTGACAAAATTACACCAGGTATTATTGATTTTTTCAAATCAAAAGTCTTGCTTAATATGTGATTGCTTTTCAAATTCTGTGTCAGTGCTAGTTGCACTGGTACTACGTTTGTCCAGTTACAGTGGTTAAATGTTGGTTTCACTTAAAAAATAATATTTGTAAATTTAAAGGGATAGCAACTGTTAATATTGACCAAAAATGAATTTTCCTGTGGTAAAGGACAATTTCCCCATAGTAACCAGTTTTAAATGAATCAATTCCCACTTTCAAAACTATCCCCTATTTTTTTTTTTCTAAAAATGTTTGTTTAGAGACTATTACAAAGTGTAGCCATCTATGGAGGTCACGTGATGTGATGGCAAGCACAAATTCCAAAATAACTGTGTTAACCGCCGTTATGGGGGCAAAATAGAATTTATTGAATTTCTATGAGTTATTTACAATGTACTTATTGTGAAATACAGATATCTTACGAACGGTAATTATCCCTTGAATATATTTGTGACAGCAAAAGTAATACACCCTGTTAATCCAAAAACTGCAGCAGTTAACATTAAAAATCGACCCATTTCTCCATGTCTCAGGACAAATCGATGTTCTTGTGTATTGTTTTGTCTACTGTGACCGATTTTAACTTACTGAACAATTATCACAGACGGTGTCGGTAACAATGCTGTCTTTACAATATA